CATTTATCCATTAGAATTTCCTCTAGTGTACTTTAACTCTTTTTCATTTTCAGAAAGACTCTTTACTGTGTCTTTGTTCTTCCCCCCTCCTTAAGCTCCTTCAGTAAGCTCCACACCCAGCACAGAGCCCAACATGGGCCTTGCACTCACGATCCTGAGATCAAGATCTGAGCTGAGTTTGAGAGCCAGATGCTTAACTGACTGAGCCACCTAGGCGCCCCTACTGTGTTTTTGTTCTTGAATATACTCTCGGTATACTTTGGTTTACAGTTCTTTTCTCTCAGCCTCTTATTCTTTAAAGCAAATCTGCTTTTAATGCATTTTCTTAGCCTTTGATGTTCTGGGATTTTACAATGTGCTTATTGTAGATTTCTTGAAAATTTTCCAGTGTGGGATATACCAGACTTCCTGACTCCATAGTATTATCTTTCATCACTCTTGAAATTCTCAGCAATATATCTTCCAATATTGCTCTGCCCAACCTCTCCTTTCCTTGGGTAACTCTAACTAGATACACATTAGACCTTTTCACTTTCTCTTCCATGTCTGTTAATAGTGTCTCCTTTTGTTTCATTTCTTGGTCTAAGAAGAATCCTGGATAATTTCCTTTATTCTTTCTTCCATTTCTCTATTCTCTCTTCAGCACTGTCTAAACTAATACTAAATCTATCTGTTTTTTAATTTTAGTTTTTGTTTCTACCAATTGCCTACTTACTTGCTCTTCCTTACATTTTTAGGCCTTTTATTTCTTAAAATGTATTAAACATTCTCATATTGTTTCTAATAATTCCACTATAAGAACTTTTGATGACTGAATCTTGTTTAGTCTGACTCTTGCACATGGTACTTTATGTGTGTAGTAATTCTTTTTTTTTTAAGATTTATTTATTTATTCATGATAGACATAGAGAGAGAGAGGCAGAGACACAGGCAGAGGGAAAAGCAGGCTCCATGCCAGGAGCCTGATGTGGGACTCGATCCCAGGACTCCAGGATCGCGCCCTGGGCCAAAGGCAGGTGCCAAACTGCTGAGCCACCCAGGGATCCCCAGTGTGTAGTAATTCTTAATGGGAATTCCTTATATTCCTGAAAACATTATCTGTGGAAATTCTTTAAGGTCCGGTATGAAGGTGGTTTCTTCATGGAAAAAAACTGCTTGCTTCTATCAGATACCTGGGGATAATACCAGGCCTGGACCACTTTAAATTGTTGGCTTAAGTTTTCTTGCCACCTAGATAGTATGAATTTGGATTGAAACCTCATAAAAACTGGCTTATGATTATAAATTTTCAAGGAATGTTTAATATAGGCAGTTTTTCTTTCAGAAATAATGAGGGATTATTTCTAGTTCATTCTGGATGTATCCCTCTGAGGATGCAGCCCTTTGGAGACCTATCTGTGTTTGGTGTGCACGTGCATGTGTGATCTCTTATTAGACACATTAATTTGGGCAGGCCCTGGGCTTCACGTGGAGGACCCAATCTTGAATACCTATAGTCACAGTTACCTATTTCAACAAATTCCCATAGAGACAGCATATTATTTTTCCCTTGACTTCTGCCTTCATTTATTCCCTGGCCTGCATATTCCTTACTATCTTGTTAGTTTATGGCTGCATTCAAAAAATTGATTTTTATGTTTTCCCTAACATTTTAGTTGTTTTCAGTTAGCTTTAGTAGGCATTTTCTTCACCATGTTCCTAGAAAATGCATTTTAAGATCTTTCTATGTTCCTAAGTGAAACTGATCTCATTTTATTTTTTTGTATTAACCTACTATGAAGGTAATATTAATATCATAAAGAGTTGGGTAGTGATCTTTGTCCTATCCTCCAAAACAGTTTGGATATAATAGGGATTATTGGCTTCTTGAAGGATTTATAAAATATATCTGTAAAACCATCTGGGCCTCATGTTCTTGGCAGAGCTGGAATAAGGCAGCCTTCTAATTAGTGATTCAGTCTTTAAGGTTACGAATTATTCAGGTTTTCAATGTCTTCTTGAGTTAATTTTGATAACATATTTTTCTAGAAAACAAGTTTTTAAAATTCTTTGGCATACAGTTGTTCACAGTATTTTATGCCTTCTAAAATCTCTATAATATATGAGGTCATATCCCTTTTTCATTCATAATACTGCTTTGTCTTTTTTTTTTTTATCAGTTTCAGTAAAGGTTTACCTATTTGACTAATTATTTTTTTACCTCTTTCAATTATTATTATTTAAAAGTCATTTTCTTGCTTCTTTAGATTTTCTTCTTTGGAATTCTTTTTTATGGATTCTGGAATGGAGAGGTGAACTTAACTCATTTACTTTCAACCTTGTTTTTCTTAGCAGTATTCTAAAGATTTTGTTAAATTCTTTGTCATGTAAGTCCAGATATTTTATAATTTTCATTGTGATTTCCTCTTCAACTGTGAGTTACCTAGGAGAGCATTTTTTTCAAGTTCCCAAGCACATTAAAAACATTTTAATGCTGCTTTTATTTTACTTGCGGTGAGAATGGAGATTGTGCTCTATATACATTGGTTCAAATGGTTTTAAGACTTTCTTTGTGATCTAGCATGTGGTCAATTCTTGGAAATGTTCTATGCATACTTGAAAGGGATATATATTTTCTTCTATTCCCTGGGTGCAGTATTCCTTTGATTTATTAAGGTTTAAATTTGATTTTCAACGCTTCTGCATTTTTACTAAGGATTTTGTCTGCTTGAAATAACTTTCTGGTACAGTTGGTTTTTGGTTTAAAATCTCCCACAAGGATTGTGGACTTGTCATTTTTTCCTTTAAATTTTTTTCAGGGTTTTTTTTTTTTTTTTTTTTTTTTTTTGCTTTATGGAGTTCATGGATAATCACACCTATGTTGTTACATATCTAGTTAAAAGTGGCTTTATTGTCTTGGGTATTTTCATTTGATTGTTAGGAGTCTCTTTATTAATATTTTTTCTTAAATTCTATGTTCTCTCACATTAATAATGCTTTTAACCATTTTGGGGGGAGGGAAGGGCTTGATATTTTTTTTCTCACCTCTTTGTTTTTCATCTTTCTTCACAGTGTTATTTAGGTGTCTCCTGGATGAAGCATACACCTAGATTTTCTATCTATCTAGTGCTGTTGGTCTATTTACATGTACAGTGAATGCCAATTATTTAGATTTATTTCTATCATAGTATTTTGTATTTTCTAAAAGTAAAATTCTCCTTTGCTGCTTCCCCACCCACCTGCCTGCCTTCTATTGGGCTAAGAGGTTATCTCCCTCTCTCCCCCTCCTCCACAGACACACAGATTGAGAAGCCAGCAAAGGCTGCCAGGCTAGTTGCCTAACCTCATATCCAGCACCTTTTTTTATACAGAGTACTTACTTCTAGCTAGGTACACTGCTGATCAGAATAAAAATGCATTTCCCAACTTCCCTGGCAAGTAGGTGTAAATGAGATGTAGCAGATATACTGCATGAGAGTCCCAGGAAGTCTCTTTGAAAGGAAAGAAGCCCTAGCTGCTATCTTGGGCCATTTAAGGATGGACACCAAGCACTTGTATGATAGAAGAGAAAGAAAGAAGGAACCCGGGTCACTAACAACCTTCAGACTGCTATACCAGTCCTAGGATACCTTCTGTACCTTATCTATGGAAGAGAGAAATAAATGTCTCTTGTTTAAGCCACTTGTTTGGGGGTCTCTCTTTCATTAGCAGCTGAATACAATTCCTGATACAGAAATTATAGATTGTTCTACAATTTTTATTTTTTTTAAATGTACATTTAACTACCAATTTTAGAAAATAAAGGTGATTCTTTTCTAGTTAATGAAGTAAATCTAATATATTTTATAAACTATTTGTAATATATTCTATAAACAGGTTTTATTATAAAATTCTGTGTTCAATTCTGTTTCTTATGTCACATGCCTTTCCTCTAGGTTTGCCTTCCCTCTTATGGGACAGGCAGGTTGGAGCTGACATGCACAGAGAAGCTGAGAGACTTACAATGGTGATCTAGTCTTCGGTTCTGGTGTCCTCACCCCTGCCTCTCTGGAGGCTTGATTCTACAAGCTAACAAACCGTGCTTATTTGTTGCTATATGAGGCCAAAGGATCCTGCATTTGCCTAATTTATCCACAGTGAAGTAACCAGAAACAGTACAGATTTAAATTCATAGAGAGGAAATTGGTTAAAAATAAAATTTAAAAAAAAAGAGATAACAGAGGATAAAATACATAGGAAAAGCACTAGAAGACAGAGATAAAAATGGAGGAACTAAAAATAACGAGTCCTGGAATGCCACCTCATTTATCAAACTTGTCAACAGCAGCAGTTAAGAGTAGAAATCTGTTCTTTATTGGGGGGAGGGGCAGAAACACAGACTAAAGTTATCAAATAGAATTACACCTGAAGGGAACAATCAAAAGCAGAAACAATCATCAATAATACAGCATTTGATTTCTGTTTACAACAGAACTGTTGTAACAGTTTACAACAACTAAGACTGTTTACAGCAGCTGTTTACAACAGCCTAAGAACAATACTTAAATATTAAACTTCCTCTTGAAACTCTATCTGGTCATTCTGTATCCGGACATGATATATGGATGGCATATTACTATTTAATTCAAGAATTTTTTTTAAGCCACACCCTTTCTTTGGTACAGGGCTGAAGCTCATTTTGTCAGGCACATGCTCTACTTTATACATATACTTTTTTTTTTTTTTAAGATCTCACTAAGACTTTCTCCTTGTCAACAACCATAAAAAGCTCAAACTTAAGAAGCATTTCACCTGGGACAAAACTGCTTCACCCAGCCATGTTAAAAAAAACAAAATAGGAATAAGAATTCTAGAATAACATTCACTTTAAATAGATGTTTCAGTTTGACTTAATTACCTGAATGGCAAATCACACATATATTCTCTACAACATATATCAAGAGGGACCCTATGACAGCAAGTGGTGCCAACTAGCATCGAAAGTGGCCATAAAATGGATATGTGGAAAAGAAAATAATTACCTTTGATGCAAGGTTGTCCACTAAAGCGATCATAGAATTCTTAAACAAGGTGGCAGCGGTTAGAGGTCGCTTGGTCACCTCTGTAATACTCAGTTTGCCTTCAGGCCACATATTCTTCAGCACAGGATTTGAACTGAGAAGCACAGAGAGAGCAATGTGAAAATCACCTTCAAATAAGTCGAACAGAAACTGCAAACCAATCCCGCTGTATTGTACTCTGGGAGTCACAAGTGGACTACAGACTGTACTCACAGGCCTTATTGGAAAAAAGACTTCATCCAGAAAATTATGCTGAGAAAGTGTTGTGGCAGATACCGTACGACAGACGGAGAAGATGTGTTCAAACTATCCTACATTTAAAAAAATTCCTGGGTCCCCGGCTGGCTCAGTCAGTTGAGCATGTGACTCTTGGTGTCAAGGTCATGAGTTCGAGCCCCATGTTGGCAGTAGAGATTACTTAAATCAATAAACTGAAAAAAGAACTCTTTAAACTTCTTTATTTTTTTTTTATTTTTATAAATTAATTTTTATTGGTGTTCAATTTACCAACATACAGAATAACACCCAGTGCTCATCCCGTCAAGTGTCCCCCTCCGTGCCCGTCACCCATTCACCCCCTCTTTAAACTTCTTTAAAGTGACATCTAGGACCCCCAAATAGGAACGGCTCTTACAATAGATACATAAAATCAAAAGGGTTGGGTGGTACTTGGAAGAAGGACGAGCCACTGGTGAAAAAACAATGCTCAGTGGCATGGCAGAGAACACGGGTGTGAAAGCGCCTTCTCATCGGAAGAAGGATTCACACAGAACAGGCTATACTACAAAAAGTCAGCTCTGTCTCATAACACAGGCAGGAATATTAAAGAACTATCGCCTTTTAGTAAACCCCTTACTGCAGCTGAATTTATTCACTCCCTTATTGGCAGTTACAAGAGTTTACTGATGTGACACTATGACTGTTGTCCTGCAAGTCCCATAATGTGTAACTCAGGCCAGTTTCAATGCTAAATATCACATAAAAACCATTATTTGGCTTTGTGGGGATATTTTCAAAGACACGTCTGATGGTCTCATCTCTGATTTTCTTCCTGTTTCTTTCGAGTACTTCTGATTTTAAAGTAATTGGAACTCAAAATGCTGCTTGCTTCCTGGAAACTTCTTTCTCTCTTTTTATTTGTGGACAGTTGACCCATGACATTATACTAGTTTCAGGTGTACAACACTATGAATCCGTATCTCCACAGGTCACGAAGTGCTCACCACAAGTGTTGGTGCCATATGTCAACCTACAACGCTGTTTCTCAGATTTTTTTTTTTTAATTGGGGACTGAGAAGAGAAAGGACTCAGCAAGGACACTCACTGCTAACTGTGTTTACCACTGCCGTCATTTTGCCCACTTTTCTTTCCCTGGTGTAAAATTGAGGAAACTTAAGTGGTTCCCCAAATACCCAGTAAACCTCTGCACACAGAGGCTCAAAGTAAGAGCTGTGAAATGCCAGAATAGATGACAAGAGAGCAAAGAGGATAAATGGTGGCCTAAAAGACTGACTGGTGTGTGTGAATGAGGACAGAACAGCACTCCCAACCCTCACCACTGCTAGGAAGCACTGCTGACTATCATCAAAAGGGGTAGTAAAATAACAGTAATCTGTGTGTGGCTCAGGGACCCTGTTTATGCCTTTCTGGTCCTAGTTCCTGATTTTCCAATGATGCACCTATCAGGAAAAAAAATGACTGCATAAACCTATATTGTTTCTCCCTAAAATTTCCATTCTAGTCTTTAGCTGAGAGAGAATTCAAGGCAGTGGTTCTCAACCCTTAGTGCAGAGGAGGCCTGGATGTCTTCCTAACACTTACTGAATAGAATTTCTAGAAAGCAGAACATGTATGCTTTGAAAATTCTGACGTAGACCAAAGAATGAAGATTGCTGACTTTGGTCTAGGCAGTTTCTAACCCAAATTCTACCTTCCACCTATGTTGGCCATATTTAGAACTGCTTTCCATATTTTACCTCATAAATGGAGGGAGAGGGGAAGGTTGGAAATGAAAGAAATAAGATGTTTATTATGATTATTAAATAGAACTGACCCATAATGAATCAAAACAGACACATTATAATCATTCTAGAGAGAACAAACTTTGGGACAAGTCATGCATGTAATATTAATAAAATAGTTTTCAAACATTTAAAAGAATGCTTTTCTTAAAAGGGAAGCTTATTTATCCAGAAACCCCGCAGGTTTAATAAATAAGACAGAACCTATCTGGCTTAGTAGTGAGGTAGTGAAGAGTTAAGTCTGTGTACCTGGCATTTCACTGGCTTGCTCCCTTCCTCTTTCCATTTACATACACACACGTAGACACACATGCACACACACATGCATGCAAGTATACTCTTAAGGTCTATAGAACTAGAGATGCAAGGATTACTCTTTAAACATATACATAGAAAGGACTGGAATTTTGGGAGGTTGTTTAGCCATGGAAGCATTGAAAAGTCTCCAGAAGGAAAGGAAGCACAATCCAACACATTCTAGGAGGATGGTTTTAGCCAAAATAAATCCAAGACTGCCCCATCCCACTGGCAAGGCCTTTCCTGTTATGCAGATACATACAAAAAACTGCAGTCAATAGACCTTTAATCTTTCACACCTTTGCAAGACCATCCCTACTGTGAACCAGATTCATGAGCCCAATGCCTTTAATTGTTGGATTTATCCAAGTCCCTTTGTTCTGATTCCATGCTTACCAAACAACTAAGCATTCTGGATTCTATGGGTAATATTTTTCACTGTCAATTAATAAACTAGAATTCTCGCTACTATGTGAATTCCCAAGCAGGTTTTCTAATAGAGAACAGCCTGTCATACCGATGCAAATATTCCATTCCGTGTGATGGTCAGATTTTTCACTGGAAATAAATCTATATGTGGCTTTGTTTCTACATTGGTCCTGTGAACTTGGGATAATGTGCATGAGTCCACTACTAGGAGGTGAAGCTGTTCTCACTAGAATTGAACCTATGGGCCTATAAATTCACAAGGTAAATTCACGAATGCCACCTTCTGTAGGCTCTTGGTATGCAGTCTGGCTGCTTTCTTCTAGCAACACACGCTAACATTGCCACTGGCCAACTGAAGCCATTTTTCCAATTTGAGTTTTTTATATTATCTTCACAGAACAATGCCAGTCTCTGTCATTTGTCTCTCAAAATGGGTACATCTCACCTGAAAATTCAAGCATTGAAACTCCTTTCTGAAAGTCCCTTTTTCCCATGACAAATTCTAACATGGACCTCCTTTTGCATTCCCATGTAACTTTCTGGTGCTGAAAGCTCCATCACCACTCTTGGTGGCTTCAACATCCACACAGACAAACCATTTAATTGTAAAACTTCTTGAAGAACTGTTTAAACACCATGTTTCCACATTCTCATTATCCATATTCTCTGGAGCCCACTTGAGACATTCGTCTTCAGGACTCTACTGAGGCCAGTGTTGTCAAGAGTCCCAGTGGCCTTCATGTCAGCAAATCCCATGGTTAATCTTGGTCCTCACCTCTTTTTGCTTCTGACAGTGTTTGATGCAGTTTATAATTTTTTTCTTCTCAAAGCACTTTTTTCTTGACACCAGATTTCCAGTTTTCTTCCTACCTCGCTGGCAGCCCTGTCTCCTTTGCTAGTTGCTTCTTTCTTACTTGATTCTGAATGCTGGGGAGTCTCAGGGATTAGTCTTTTTGACCTCTTCTATTTGTCTATGCTCACCCTTGTTAATCTCATCTAGTCTTATGGCTTAAAGTACTGTCAACAGACTGATGATCATGAATTTCTATTTCTAGTTCCTCCTTTATCCAGAGTTCCAGATGCATACCCACAACCGCCTACTTGGCGTTTCCAGTGGAATGTCCAATATAATACAACATATCCAAAACAGAACACTCCATCTCCTCTACCCAATTAGCCCCTCTCATCATCTTCCCCATCTCAAGCGTTCCTTCCCCACTGCTCAGGCTTCATCTCAGATTTATATTTTTCTCACGCCACACAACCTATCCATCAGCGAATCTTGTTGGCTCCACTTTCAAAATATCACTCGCTCTGACCACTTTTTCATTACCTCTGTTAATAACACCTGGATTACTAAACTAGTCTCCTGTTTGGTCTCATTTCTACTCTTGTCCTTTACAGTATATGTTTTACACAGTAGTCCTAGTGAGTTCTTTAAAATATAAATCAATCATATCATAAATTCCAATGGCTTCTCTTCATACTTCATCCTTACCTTGGCTCACAGATACTTCATGATCCATACCCTCCTCATCTCCCTAAATTTTGTCCCTATAACTCTCCCTCACTCTGCTTTTAGGTACACTAGCCTTCTCACTGTTCTCAAGACATCCGTGCTCACTCCTACCTTGGCACTGGCTATTATCTCTGCTGGAAATGCTCTTGCCACAACGTGTTCATGGTTCACTCCTTCATTCAGGTCTCTGCTCAAAAAGTCATCCCTTTTAAGAAGCCTTTTCTGACCACCCTTATCTATAATATTTCCCCTTACCCTTCCTTGTGTGGATGCTTCAATCTCTTACCTACTTTTTATTCACAGCACTTGTCACTTACCAGAAAGTTGTTTTCTTATTATGTGTCATTTCCACTGGAAAGGCAGATCCATGAGGCCAGGGACCTAGCCTAAATTTTTTTCACAGCTGCATTTCAGGCCATAGCAGAATGTATGGCTCACAGGTGTTCAGCACATTTTTGATGATCTCTTAACCAACTGAGTAGACTTAATAAATGTGTGAGTACATTTCTCTAACCCAAAAGAAGAAAGTGGCTGAGAATCTCTTCTTCTTTATGGGCCTCTTTCCAAAACATCCATACTATGTTTGAACTTGCTATCCTCTGCCTGGCTTTATTTCACCACATCTTTTCCACATTTTCTTGGACTGTGAGACGGTTCTGTCCACTAAGGATCTGTCAACACTGACACTAGATGCCACTCTACTAAGAATGGTCTCTTAGTTGGAAGCAAAGGCACTATAGTGGGAATCTGCATGCGTAAAACGTTTATCTGGGCCAGAGGGTATCCAATACCCCACCCCCATGCCAATGGCCTACACTGGGGACATTGGCAGGGGTGCCAAGAGGGCAGCAGTAGTGAACAGGGAGACTGAGGCAACCCAAGGGAAATCAAGCAAAGTCATTAGCAGGCCTCTGTCCTAAATTTAGACTGCATAATCATAAAGTAATACATTATTTCATTCATTCATTATTATCAAACAGAACTAGAAAATTTGCCTGGAGCTATTAAAATTGCCACATGAAAGTAATGATGTGCATACATATTATGCAATACATATGTCAAAGAGTTTAATGGGAAGATAATTAATAAAATTTCAATCCTACCTATTATACAGGAGGCGCTTGAAATCTTGAAACAAAGTGTCTTTATTTTTGTCAATAAATCCAATGACCGAATAGCTAGGAGAAAAAAAAAAAAACCAACACATAGAAAACATGCATTATTCACCAAGCAAGAGCCACATGTAAGCTTTTTGATAAGTCTATAAGCTTTTCCACTGTTAATTATGTAATCAATCATCTGTAGAGCTAATATTGTTCACTTTGTTCTGTGTTAAAGAATATCAAATTTACCTACTAAACAGACAGGATGTTGTTTCTCTTCCTCAAAAGGAGAACAAACATCAGCACCATCACTAAGATTAAGACTGTCATTTTCTATGGTTTACTGCTTACCTCAAGAAGTCGACTCTTAAAAAGATAGCTGTGTTTATCATCCAGCACTCCTAAGATAAAAGCAAAACAGCAACATACAGGAGCTAATAGTCTCTTCTGTAAGGAGGTCAAGTGACTTGCCTATGGTTCTTTCAATGTGTTCAGGGTGGGAAAAAAGAATCCAAGAAGAACTGCAAAGGATGGTAAGATTTGGATAAGCAGAAGAAAAGAGGAAGGGAGATCACACAGTGAAACAGATCAAACGAAGGAGAGGACCAGGCCCATGCATGGCATGCTTGAGAGAAAACAAGGAGGCAGGCATTCACGGTTTGGAGGAGGGAGAAGGTTGAGGTCCTGAGGGTCCCACTCAATTCACTCTTGGTGATGAAGGAGGGATGGGAGCTGCTGGGCTGCAGCAATGAGCGTGGACTCCAGGAGAGGCCAGTTTAGTGCTGGGGGCAAAAGTGACGGAGTCACCACCAGGGTGACAAAGACAGAGGCTCAGAGATTGTGCAACAGGAACTCTAGATGTACCTGCTCCCTAGAGCTCTACTTTCTTGCGTCTGTGTATCTTCCTTGACAATCATCACAATGATATAGATCATTTTCAGATGTCTGACCGTGACCCCTCACTGATGTTTCAGCCTTACACATTTAATTCACCAAGAAGGTTCCTTCAGGCTTTAGTGCCCAATAGGAGCTTCCAGGCCACCAGATCCAAAATTACTTCCTTGCCTCCCACCTCCTAGATCCATTTCCTAAGATCTTCAAGTCATTTTTGACTGAAACCTTGAAGCCACCCAACTCTTAGTCTTTGGTCTAACCTATAACCTCCAAACTTCAAAGTTCTCATTTTGGCCTTTAAGACTCATTACAATTTGATCTCAATCTACTTTTTCAGGTACTTCTATTTCTCTAATGCTACAAAAAGGATACATTCCACTTTAACGGACCTATTTACTATTTCCTGAATATTTCTAGCACTCTTTCCACTTCTCCCTTTAAAAATAATTCCTAGCATTTAAGGACTAGCATCGACTTTCCTGGGCTTATCACAGATAGTAGTATGACATCATGTGTTTATTCTAAATTCTGACAATACTCCTATTAGTTATATGGCAATTATTTTAGATCATCTTTTATTGTACTGATGTATGCCTGTAGCTGTGTGTCTATTATGTGTATGCATATTTATGAGTACAAACACACACACACAATCAAATGGGTATATATGCATCTTACACGGAAAGCTCTTTGTGGGCGGAGCACCTTATAAAACACTGTGCACACACAGAACATATGCAGTCCTAGAAAAGGACTGAAAGGCTGGAGGAAAGGGGAAGTCTGAGGCATTGAATATCCCTTGGAAGGGTCAGCTAGAATTCTGGACTAGAGTCTAGAAACCAGTTATTGTCTCAGCTATTCCATAAACTTGCTGTATGACCCTGGACAAAAGTGTTATTACAAACTTTCCATAAGTCTCTCCATCTATAAAACAAAGAGGCCAGGCTAGCTGGTCTCCAAGGCCTCTGACCAATTCTGCTTTTATGCTCTTGAACCATATGGAAGCATCCTGTAAGTGAGGCCATCCTTTTCAGTGGGAGAGTGTGCACACCGCTGCATCTGCCCTCTTCAGTGTTCTGGAACCTGGGAACAGGACCAGAACAAGTGGAAAATGGTGCCATTCCAGCTCTAATGGCTAGTTTGACAGATGGGGTGATAATTTTGAGCTATATTATTTTATGACTCAGAGTTTTAATTTATATCAGGAACAGCTATTAAAATTTCTTCAAATGTCTTTTTGGCATTTGTAGAGATGATCATTTGCCTTTTTGTTGTTGTTATGTAATTTCTTCCTGTAATGGGTTATGATGAACAGAGCTTCTAATGTAAAAAGGAGGAAGAAGAAGAGGAAATTTTAAACAATTATCCAGTAAGAAGCGGTGTTCAGTGGGCAAAACATCCTAAGTGTAGCAGGCTGAAAAATGCCCCTCTACCACTTGAAAGACATCCATGTCAAATACCCCAGCCCCTGTTAGTGTGATCTTCTATGACAAAAGGTGTGATTATGTTATGGATCTTGAGAGGAGAAACTGATCCCATATCACCCAGGTGGACCCTAGATGCCATCACAATTGTAGTTTTAAGAGAGAAGTAGGGGTTCTTGATCTCAGAATTGTGAGTTCATGCCCTGCACTGGGCTCTGTGCTGGGTGTGGAGCCTACTTAAAAAAAAAAAAAAAAAAAAAAAAAAAAAAGAGCCAGACGGAGTTTTAACACAGACACACCAAAGATGGGGCTGCAGTGTGACTATAGAAGCAGAGACTGGAGAAATGCAGCCACAAGTCCCACGATGCCTGCAGCCACCAGAAGCTGGTGGAGGTGAGGAACAATCCTCTTCCAGAACCTCCGGCGTGTGGCCCTAGGGTTCGGACTTTTGGCTTCCAGAACTGGGAGAGCAAACATTTCTCTTGTATTAAGCCACCAATGTTACAGCAGCCCTAGGGAACTAAGTACTAAGGTAGTTTATTTTTAGTTATATTTTCCTGTCAATTTCTACTTATACTGTGACCAGAAAAAGTGAGATTTTTACTTTTTCAACTGACATTTGAAAAAGAATATGGCAAAATAAGTTTCTGCTCATGTGGTTATCCCACTGCTTGTAGTTCTTCACACACAATGGTGGCTCTTGGCTCTGGGCCTGCGAACCTACTGGCTCCTCTGCCTGGATTACCCTCCTTACCTCCTCCCTTCCTAATTCTTTCCCCTGACTAAAACCTCTCTTACTTTTAGGACTCAGCTTGGATATCACTTCCTCCCACCAAAACCTCTCTATACTCTCACCCAAATTTAATTAATTCCTCCTCAGTGTTTCCATAAGGCCTTGTGCATCTCTAGTTTGACCCTTCCCATTCTTTGTTACAGTGACTTACCATGTATCTGCTTGTGTCCACCACTGAACTCTTAGCTTCTTCAGAAAAAGGCCTACCATATCCATCTTTAACATTCTTCCATGATTCATTTATGCATCAGGTGACCTGACTGAGTGCCAACTATGCCAGGGATGGTGCATGGCTGCCACGGTGTGTGTTCAAGAAAAGTTTGAAAAGCAAGGAATGAATGAAGCTAAGCCAATTTTTTTTTAAAGTGAGGAGATATATTATATATTATATAATAGATATAATATATAGGAGATATATATTATATATATGATACATATATAATATATAATAGGAGATATAATATATAGGAGGAGATATATTATATATTATATATTATAATAGGAGGAGATATAATATATTATATAATATATTAGCCTATGAAATGACTAAAAAACACAAATGAATAGGAAAACAGTTTTTATTTCCCCTGGTTCTATTTTCTAAAGTGAAGTTGCATGCAAGTCATCGTGTTAGGTAACGAAGTAAGATACTCACACTACATCACCGGCATAATGTCGAATTCGAAAATCTCGATCAAACTCCAGGATTTTGTCTGAGGCGCAGAGCTAAGAAATCAATTAGGAGATTACTTTGGAAATGGATATTTTCACTTTCCTAAAATTATACTCCAATGTCATATAAGATAATGATAGTACCACAAATCATGATACCATTATGAATGAAATCACACTATGTGGGGCTTATCTGGTAAAGCCTGTGAGCTTTCACCGGAAGTCTACACAGCTAGATGTCATTTCCCAGCCACCCTGGCAGCTGGATATGGCCAAGTGACCAGGTGCTGGACAATGGACAGTGAGTGGAAAGGAAGTGTGGTTGTGTCAGGCCAACACCGGTAAGAAGTGATCATTTGCAGCACTTCCTCTTCTCCTCCCACTAGCAGATTGCAGAGAAGGATAGTGGCAAGGTGATGAAAGAGCCAGAAGACAGAAGTCCAGGTTCCTGGGACAAAATTGGACTTCTACTGTCTCTGACGCTGAGAGCTTGGCTGCTGCCTCAAGTGGCCCAGCCTGCCCAAACTAATATAGTCTCTTTCTGTTCCATGTTCCGCTTAAGGAGCATCACACGGAGGGCTTGCTGCCTGCTGGGCACATATATCTCATGCAACCCTCACAACTGATATTTTAAAGGAAGTATTATGAGCTCTATTTTATCACAAGGAAACTAAGGGTCAGAAAGCTCAGGTAATTGGCCCAAGTCACATAGCTCAAAAGCGGCCGTTCTGGAAGGATTCTTGGGACCAGAGGTAATGTCTGCTCTCCTATGTACATACAGAATGGCCTGATTCACTTGTCTTGGGACTCAAGTTCAAGGCTATCATTTCAGAGAAGATAAAAAGTATTCTTCTTCAGTGAGAAATAGCTGCAGGAAGTTGAAGAATCCTTTATGGAAAGGTAGTTTTTCTGTGGTGGTGGTCTCCACAGTTTTCTGAAAATTTCCTTGTTACAGTAGCACCCAGACTTCTTTGTCTGCCCTGTGAAGGATCACTTGAGATCCTATGTGTTCTAAAGTAGACATCCAAGAATCCATAGAGCACTGAGAGCAGTTATGCACAAAAACTTACGTTGCAGTGGTAGCTACCAAATACCCCCAGCCAGGATGGTGGCTTCTATACTCATAACACTAGACTAGTAAAAGAATAATTAGTTTATTAATCAAACAAGTGAATAATTACAGGAAATTAGAATCAGACTTCTGAGGTTCAAAAATCTTGGTTCTACCATCTATTTGCTCTGTGTCTTTAAATAATTACTCATCCCAGAGAGTTATACTGAAACTTAAATGAACCATGTATCCAACATAGAGAGGTCTCCAAAAAGTGGAATCCCTCTTTTCTTCTCCATTTTGTTAACCATTTTACAAAAGCCCTTCATTTATAAAACTCCTTGCGGAAAAGAACCCAGGAGATGCCCACACTAATTGAATATTCTTACATTTGGATACTGCAAAGTCTCAACTGATCTGAGCACAGAAGGCTTTAAGTTTTTCTTTACATTTTGAAAATAGTAAGTTATGTATATCATTTAACTTTCTATGTTCACAATACCTTAAATAGGAATTTCATGGTTTATTGGATCATTTGCCTATATCCCCATGATAACTTTAACATATAAGAAACCCCTTAGCCCCAAAATAATATGAGGCAGAAATCTCTTATTTAATATACCAATAACTCAAGTTAATGTAATCAATAGCAGATGATAATACATGGCTTAATGTACAGTATAATAGCATTATTTAACAGATAGATTCATAGTGATGAAATACATTCTGACAGCTTGGTTATTCCATTTCTTTCCTTCATTAGGGCTATAAACCCAGAAATTAACACACTTTAAAAGTTCCCATCTCAGGGGGGACTTCCTCCCTTCCTCCAGCATCATTTACCCTTGCCTAGAGGGGAGGAGCCCCCAGGAGGAAGGAGCTACCTGGTTGGAGAGTCAGAGAAACTTGGATTTCCACATTTAAAGAAAAAAAAAAAAAGAAAGAAAATTCCTATGGTGCCTGGGGGCTCAGTCAGTTGGGCATCCAATTCTTCATTTGGGCTCAGGTGTGAGACTGGGCCCTGAGATGGGCTCTGCACTCAGCAGGGAGTCTGCTTGTCCCTCTCCCTCTGCTCTTCCCCCCTACCTCTATCACACAGTCTTTCTCTCTCTCTCTCTCTCTCTCAAATAAATAAAATCTTAAAAAAAGAGAGAGAATTCCCATCTTCCCAGATAAATTAATATTTTGCAATTTCTTACCAAATCAATGGCAACTGCTTAAAAGTACTATGTGGAGTACAGTCTGGGTGGCTCAGCGGTTTAGCACTGCCTTCAGCCCAGGGCATGATCCTGGAGAAAGGGCATCGAATCCCACGTCAGGCCCCCTGCATGGAGCCTGCTTTTCCCTCTGCCTGTGTCTCTCTGTGTCTCTCATGAATAAATACATAAAATGTTTAAAAAGAAAAAAGTACTATGTGGAGTGGCTACTAAGATTGACATATTTCAGATATTTGGTGGACAAATTTAATTCAGGTGTATAAATGGCCAAGATGAATCAAAATGAGGTGGTTTATCATGAGATTCATAGTTATTTAATATAAATGAAATGGAGCATTGCATGTTTTAGTCTAAAATTCAATATTCCATAAGATGTATTTGGTATAATCATGACCAATTCAATTCAATTTTATAAACACTGATGACCTACCATTTTGTAGGCAGGATGTTAGGTGAATCTCCAAAACCTGGGCTGGGGTTATAAAGGATGTAGATAACCCATCCCTCGAAGACAGGACATCTCCCCATGTAATACCATCTTTCAACTGATCACTCTAAATGGTGTAGGATGCTTCTACCTTGGCTTCTGCACTGTCCCCAGTACCCAGAATATGCCTGGGAAATGAGAGGTACTTAATAAGTACCTGTGTTATACATGGGAAATGACTGAAGAATACCTCTGACAAGAAGCCTAATGTCAAAGGTCAGACAGTAGCATCTGACAGCTGACTGACTTGTAGTAGGGACCACATCAATCCTGAGTAACAGACCAAGGAGAATCTTTTTTTTTTTTTAAGATTTTATTTATTTATTCATGACAGACACAGAGAGAGAGAGAGGCAGAGACACAGACAGAGGGAGGAGCAGGCTCCATGCAGGGAGCCCAATGCGGGACTCGATCCCAGGTCTCCAGGATCACCCCCCAGGCTGAAGGCGGTGCTAAACCTCTGAGCCACCGGGGCTGCCCCAAGGAGAATCTTTAAGAAATAAACTGGCCTAAATAAATATCAGCCAACAATCTATTTCTTGATGATTAGTGCTTTATCTAGTTGCAGATTCTTACTGTTCTGATTACATAATTTCAAAGGGGACAAAGTTAGATTTATTTGTGCTAAAAAAAAATTGGCATGTATCATAGATTTACATGAAAATATAGAGGAGCAGAAATGTTTGCTCCTTTCTTTATGGAAGTGACAGAGCATGGGGTTTGTTTCTCCTTCAGCTTATAATTGCTAGACAAGCCTGTATCTGTAGGGAATACTCGAGGATGACAGTGCACCCCTCCTAGGACAAATACCAATGGCAAATATACTATATGCAAAGGTCTGACAATCACAACTGCCACCACTTATTACAGAACTGTGATCTGTTTAATAACATTTTTAGAATGTGAAAAATGAGGAGTTAAAAGGATACCCATTCACTGAAGGGAATGAGTTTCCTTATGATGGGGAGAACTACAGCTAGAATTTCTCTATTTTCAAGAAAGTCATAGAGTCTGAAGAACTGCGGCAGAGGACACACACTATGTTTTATAACTGATTACAGTTAAAAGTCAAGGACAAAAGCTGTTTTCAGTGCCAGAATTATCAGATGCAGGAGTAGAATTTTAGCATATGAACAAGGCCTCTGTACCTATTGGTTATAAATGACATCATGCTTTCTAAAATCGTGTTCATTTTTCCTATTTCTAGCAAATTGAATAGTCTGGAGCTCCCTCTCCTGGATATTATGATTCTTATCAATCTTGTCATCCCATAAACCAGAGAGGCAGAATTTATTTATAGTAGTAAGTCACTTAATGGATGCTTATGGCCTTTCTTGCTTAGTTGAGTGGACATTCTTTTAATCCAACATTTAAAACCATTTAATTCTGCCAAACAATGGGAAAATCCTACAGATCAAAAGGAGATGAAGTTCTCATAAAACACATACCTTTCGGCTGGAAAAATGACCATGTTTGCCTAATTTACTATTAAGTGCTTCGAGGAACATTTCATCGGTGACTTTGCCAACATTCATGCAGGCATCATCCAGGATTGCAATGATCCCTTTGTGCTGCTGCTCTACAAGGTCCACGATGATCTGGTTGTTGAAGTAATCGATCTGCAGGACACAAAAAGGAAGCCGTTCCAGAGGGAACAGAGAACAAGACACGCAAAACACAGATGCTGATGCTTCCAGATGTTTCAGGAATTTAAGTAAAGTTATGTCGATGTCAAATAAGTCAAGAGCATTAATGAGGTCTAGTGCTAAAATGAGCACATGTTCTATCAGAGGTTTATTTTTTATTTCTTTGTTGACTTTCTACCATGAAACACTTTGTTACTGAGTATAGCTCAAGGCAAAAATTACAAAGTAGATAATGTTTCTCCTATCACTAACTTTTGTTTTAATCCTACACCCCACTCTCCACCTCCTCGATCTGTTTGCCATTAATCACTAGACCCACACTCCACAAAGTACCAACAAATAACCTTAAAGTGTTATTTGATTCATAAGTTGAAGTTACAGTATCACATAGAACTTGAATTTTTAGTTCTATGGCCTTGGATGACCAAAATCCAAAAGAGGCCTTCTCCAGCTTTCCCAAAGCCAAAAAAAAAGGCACATGTAAGTCTAGCAGTTTTGATGTTTCTCTGGGCAAGAACATAAATTTAATTCTGAGATGAAAGTATCTGTAGGGATCCCTGGGTGGCGCAGCAGTTTGGCGCCTGCCTTTGGCCCAGGGCGTGATCCTGGAGACCCGGGATCGAATCCCACATCGGGCTCCCGGTGCATGGAGCCTGCTTCTCCCTCTGCCTGTGTCTCTGCCTCTCTCTCTCTCTCTCTGTGACTATCATAAATAAATAAAAAATCAAAAAAAATTAAAAAAAATAGAAAGTATCTGTAAAAGATAAGAATAAACTTAGCATTTACTTTTATGCGCTGAATAAAGTTCTAAATAACATCTGGCTTTTTAGCAACTTCAATATGCACAAGGTTTATCCCAAATTCCTCTTCTATATGTGTTTACTCGAATAGTCCACGGCATCCATCTCACCACACACACACTGGCCTCACTCAGGCTAGCTGTGCATCATCAGAAGATGGGCAGGCTATTAACACACATTTTAGTTCTGGGTGTTGATGTGTCCCCCTCATTTAGGAGGCATCTAATATTGAATGTTGTCTCCAATACCTTCTGTACGATCTATGTGCTCATAATGGACTTTCAGTCTCTCATGGATTCCTGCTCTGTGCTATTTAAGTCCAAGGACTCAAGCCAGTTATCTGTGGCTTTAAGCTCCGCCCCTACTCTTCCAAGTTCTCTTCTGTATCCATGGACTGACAGTCTGCTGACTGGGTGGCTTCTACTTCCTTTTTTATACCTTACTGGTTTGTCTCTATCAGTAAGTCTCAACAGGATGACTTTTCCCTCAGGGGCATTTGGCATTGTCTGGAGACATTTTTGAAGGTCAAGACTACAGGACCAGTGGGAAGAGGCCACTAAACATCCTATCATGCACAGGAAAGCCTCACAACAAAGACTTATCTGGTCCAAAACATCAGTGGTACAGAGCTGGAGAAACCTCCATCTACATATGTACTTTTATGGTGGGCACATATTACATTTGCTAATTAGGGAGAAAAGTTATTTCCATCTTTGGAAAAAACATCCTTAGTCTTCTCAAAAAGCAGTAACTCTGTATTAATTATTAGCTGAAGTCTTAGACTCTGCTAGTATAGAATTAAAGACTGTCTTTTGTCCCAGGGACAAAAGAATTAAGTCCTTTAAAGTTCCAATTGTATAACTAAAAGTGATTGGTCTTTGCTTTAAGAGTTCAGTAACTTTCAGTTTGTAAGTTTAATGTTACTTCAAACATTACTTAAATTTGTGGCTTTCTTTTTTTTTTAAGATTTATTTATTTATTTATTCATGATAGACAGAGAGACAGAGAGAGAGAGAGAGGCAGAGACACAGGAGGAGGGAGAAGCAGGCCCCATGCCAGGAGCCCGACGCGGGACTCGATCCTGGGACTCCAGGATCGCGCCCTGGGCCAAAGGCAGGCGCTAAACCACTGAGCCACCCAGGGATCCCCCAATTTGTGGCTTTCAAACCAGGTTCTTCCAGCAACCTCAATTCCCAGGGAAGGGGGCAAGAGGAGATGTGATGAGGTAGGTCAGGGGCACAGAGGTCTGGGTCTCTCATTCCCAGCCCAAAGAGAGCAGCTAAAAATGTCTTGTAAACTACAGCACCGAAAGCCTATAAAAGTGACTCAATTAGGGAGGGAGATAACCAAGCATTTGGAACCCCCTGATAGAAGTCCATGTACCACTATGAAACAGCCTGGTGCTAAAACACTGATCCTGAAACCAGCCAAGCCTCCAGATCTGACAACCAAGGACATACACAGAACAGAGACATATATTGGATGACACCTCGGGAATCCGATGAGCAAAATCCAGACTATGGCAAGCTCTACAGAACTAATGACTCATCCTCTTCATCAGGAGAATGTGAGGGAAAAAAAAGAGAGGAGAAAATCTACACATATGCAAGCAACCTATCAACCAACCACAATGTAAGAATCTTGCTTGGGTCTAAATTCAAACAACTATAAAGAGAAACCAAAAAAACTCCTTGTAAAACAATTGAGGAAATGTGAACACTGACTAGATATTTGATGATATGAAGGTATTACTGTTACATTTCTTAGGTGTGATAATGGTACTGTGGTCACAGCATTTGTGAAAGTCTTTATCTTTTAAAGAAGCACACTGGAGTATTTACAGATGAAATAATATGATGTCTGAGATTTGCTTCAACATTATCTGGGGGTGGGTGGATGGGTGATGGGTACACTGAATTTATTGTATCATGATCTATGCTCTTAGTTTGCTTGAAATTTTCCATAATAAAAAACATAAAAAAAAAATCAATCACTATGTTCAGAAGTTGAGGAAATAATTGCCCAGAACAGAGATTCTAATTTGGGGGAACCTGGCAATGTAGTCAGTACAGTAACAATTACCTTGGACCTAGCCTTTTGTTCCCTCTAGGACATTTATTTCTTGGTTTATTTTGCTAAGGATTTTTGCATTTTAGGGCTGTTGCTCCTTTTTCAGAATAGCCTACTGTGGTTGTTGACTTTCCTCCTTTATCAGCTATGCCTGTGGAATTTGATATCTTGAATACTAAAGGATATTTTTGACCAGTATCTCTGAATCACATCTGAGTAACAAGTTTTATGATTACATTTGCTATAAAAATCTAAGTGTCAGTTTTAATTGTGTGTTCAATTGTACTACAGGTCCATTCTACGAAGGCTGCATCTAAACTTAATTGAGAAATGCTTTGGTGGCTCAGTAGTTGAGTGTCTTTCGCTCGGGTCGTGACCCCAGGATCCTGGGATGGAGTCCTGCATCAGTCTCACCCACAGGGAAGCCTGCTTCTCCCTTTGCCTATGTCTCTGCCTCTCTCTCTATGTCTCTCATGAATAAATAAAATCTTAAAAAAAAGAAAAACACTTAATTGAATTACACCTTAAATGTGCTATGAGAGTTTACGGCAAAAATCAAAATTATAGGTAATTATATTACAAAGTTATAATACACCTTTTGGTTTATCTGTAAAACAGTAAAATTTATACTAATATACTTGAACAAAAAATTTTTAAGGTATTCTGACGTTTAGCACATGCTGGAAGGCAAAAATGCAATTTGAGGCAGGACAGTTGTACCACTGTCTCCCTTTCTGAATGAGAGGAGATAGAAAGTAGGAAGGTGGGAGACATATAAAAGGAATTTACATACAGCATACCAAATAGCTTTTTACTATTACAATGCATATTAAAAAACACTAACTTTATTGTCTGTTCTATTCAGCAAAAGGAGAAACACAGTTCTATACCCTCAGAAATGTATGGAAACTCAGAAGTTATACATTTCTCAAGTCCGTTCTCAAAATTGCTTAAAAATATAAATTTAACAGAAAACTTTACTGGGTCTCATCCTGTCACACACAGGAGGTCTCAATGGTAAGGAACAAGAGCACCAACCCAAGTCATGCTTTTCAGCGGTGGTATCTGGGGCTTATGCTCCAGGGCAGTACCACTTTCAGCCCTGCCTTGCCAGATGTTTGACTATGACAACTGTCAGTGTTCACACAGGGCCATGAGCAGGTGATACCAGGTGTGACACGAGGGACAGCAAACAGAAGTAAACATTAATGCTTTCATGCCTGGGTTTCAGAGAATATAAACCACAGTAACTGAAGAGAATAACAATGCCATTTAAATTGCAAAGTAGAGTTGGGGAAAAAAGGAGAAATAAGAGGAAAAAAAGGACAGGAAGAGAATAAACTCAATTTGGAAGCAAAGCCCAGCCCATTTAAGGCAAAGCTGCTATTCCAAGTAACCTCTAAATGGCGCTAAACTACTAGACAGATGAGAGCTAGAGATCCCACACAGCATCAGCCATAAAGTGCGAAGGTTGGAATTCAGCATTTCTGGACACCAACAAGGCAGTCCATCACATGAGAGAAATCCCACTTGCCGACCCTGAAAATGACTTGTAATTCCATATCCCCAAAAGGAAAGCTAACGTTGAGATGTTTCATGTACTCAAGGAGATTAAAACAATGCCCCTAAAATGCTAAGATTTGACATCTGCAATACTACATGAAACCCAGGAAGCTATTTTCCTGAGGAGACCACTCACATGCTTCCAGGGGATGCCCTCCCGCTGGTACTCCTCTTGTTCTTGCTTCAGAACCAGCTGAATGAACAGCTGCTGCAGTTTCTCATTGCAGTAGTTGATGCAGAACTGTTCAAAGCTGCAAGAAAAGGAATCAATTAGGTTCAAAGAAACAAAAAAATCAACAATAGAGTTTTAAGCCTCTTATCCAGTTTACCTGTTATTGTCAAAGATTTCAAAGCCATAGATATCCAAGACACCGATAACAGTGTTTTTCCCATGGATGGTGGTGTCATAGTTCTTGACCTCGATAATATCATTGATGCGAGTAACAATCCAACAAAAAAGGCGTTCATATATTGCCTGTGAGGAGAACAACATTGTTCATTCTTCCCCATTTGAGACTGTGTCTTCTGTTTAGATCTGTGATAAGTTTTAAATTCTTATCTACTTTCTCCTTACCATTTAACATAGCGATTGCCACTCTAAGCAGAAAAATTAGAAATGCAGATCATCTGTTAAAGAAAACTACATGATGTAGGTAATACTAAAGTAAACGGTTTGGATTTTTTAAAGCTTATTATTGGTTGGGATACTAGGGATATCCTAGATATGTGTATGTCTGTCTCTGTGCCCAGCTATATCAATAATTTGCGTACTCCTTCACAGAAGTTGCTTACTTTATTATGAATTTCATCAAATATTAAAAAGTGGGGAACCAATGAGTTAATATCTATCTTCCAGGAAAGCTCTATGGAGTCTAAAAATACAAATATTGATTTATAGTGCTACATAAAGATCTGAGCCAAAGATTGCAGTTTGAAGTTCCTAGAGCATCAAATGCATATCCAATGTCCAAGGATGCTTACAGCAAGATACATGTGGACAAAGGCACCACATGCTCACATGCACTCATGTCCTGATACAAGTGTTCTCCACAGTACCACGTCTTTAGCATGTGCATGGTTAGCAGCTCCCTCCAGCCACCTCCCTCTCCACCTGCACTTATCCACACTCACTGCCTCTGTTCTTTGCCTCCTTTTTACTCTTCCATCCAGTCAATCTTGGCTTACCTCCCACTGCTCCACTGAAATGGCTCATCAAAGACCCCAAGCACCTCAGTGTAGACACTTCCTTGGGCCTCTATGTGGATATCTTATTCAGACACTTGGTGTCACTCCACCTAGTTTCCCACTCTCTCTCTTTTTTTTTATAAGATTTTATTTATTTATTCATGAGAGACACACACACACACAGAGAGAGAGAGAGAGAGAGAGAGAGAGAGAGAGGCAGAGACACAGGCAGAGGGAGAAGCAGGCTCCATGCAGGGAGCCCGACGTGGGACTCGATCCCGGGACTCCAGGATCAGGCCCTGGGCTGAAGGCGGCACTAAACCGCTGAGCTACCTGGGCTGCTCTCCCACTCTCTTCTTGAACATTCTCCTCTCTGGGATTTGTGACAGCACATCTCCTTAATTTTCCTCCTATTTCACTGGCTGCTCCTTCTGAGTGATCTCTGATCTCCTCTACCTGGCCTCTAAAAGGTGGAGTTCCTCTGGTCCTCTTCTCTTCACTCTTTAACACCTCTTGAGTCATCTCATTCAATGTTAAACTGTCGCAACTCTTGAACCTATTGCTCCCACACAGACCTCGCCTCTGAATGCCAGACTCATGTGCTTATTAATAGCTGACCTAACGACAATCCCAGGGGCCTCGCAGCCATCTCAACCATGTGTGCTCTCAGGACTCTTGGTCTTCCCACCTCCAAAGACTGTTCCTACCCTACTTCTAACCATGAACATGACACTAGAACTATAGCAATTTATTCATTCAACAAATATTAGCTGAGTACTTACTCTATATAGATTATTGGAGATACAGTACTAAAGGAGACATAAACACTGTCTCAGTCTCCAAGGAGCACAGGGAGTAAGATGAAGGAAAAACCACACCCACACCCACACCCTCTCTCTCTCTCTCTCTCTCTCTCTTTCTTTGAAGGTGAGGTGTGTAGCATCTGAGGATAATTTAACCTGTTCAGGGTTCACAGAGGCCAGTGAAGACTGGCCTTTGTGGGCTGAGGTCAGAAGGATGAATAAGAGTTGCCGAGGCAAGCGGGGGAGAGAAAGGATCTAAGCAAAGGATCTAAGCAAAGGTGACAGGACCTCATGTGCAGAGGTCCTGTGGCTGGAAGGAGAAAGGGATAAAGACACACTGAAAGGCCCAAGAGAACACTAATGTGCTGGAATTAAGGAAGGAGGCTGAGGCATGGTGTGGAATGAGGCAGGAGATGCAGGCTGGAGCCAGACCATGCTAGGAGTGAGCCTTGATTTTATCGTTCTCCAAACAGGGATGTGGATTTTACATCCTGAATACAGCCCATCTCAAATTATCCTCTTTTCCCCATATCTGTGCTACCTGCCATCATCTCTCTCCTGTATACTGTAATGGTCTCCCTGCTTCCATCCCCACCCACAGAAGATTCTCCATACTGAAGCCAGAGCGATTTCTTTAAAAATGCAGGCTTGCTTGTCATTGCCTCTGCTTAGAATCCTCCACACTCTGTTGCACTTGGATAAACGCAAATTCCTCTTGAGACTAGAAACCAAGCCTGCGACTCATAAGAGTAAGAATGGAATACGTGGCAATCTAATCAACCAGCAAAAAAGAAAAACAAGGAAATGTGAGCTTGGTAACATAAAACATTTGCTATGCAGATAATATAGACAAAGGGTTAAAGTTACGGGCTCTTCAAAATGGGCAAAAAACAATAGCAGCCCTGAAGAAGATGTAAAAAGGACACTCCAGGAGATTCTGAGAATGGATTTAAATACCTTACAAAAATCCAGAAAGATGCTCAAATATACTAGCAATGAAAATGAAAGTAAAGTATTAGTTACATCCATAAAGTCAGTAAATGTAAAGTTTAAAATCAGTGTGTCCATTGATGTGGTAAGCTCATTCCTGGGAGTCTGTCCACTGAGAACAAAAGCGCTAGTGTATAGGGACACATGCACACAGATATGGCAGCATTATTTGTCGTGGCAGAAAAAGGAAACAAAGTGAATGATTTAAGAGGAGGATGGTTAATAAATCATGGCACCACCACCACATAGACGTGAAACCCAAGGGATGAGAACTCCATCAGGTGACCTGAGGCAATCTTCATCAAACACTGGTGAGCAAAGCAACACAGAGGGCAATGAGAGGGCCTGGGCAGGCATCACGAGGATGGATGGAGGATTCAGTTTCCTCAGAACATTTCCTGAGAGTGATGTTCATAGTCAGGGCATTTTATTGAGACTGCACTGGTCCAAAAGCATCATTATGGTTTCTAAAAGCCTGAACCCACTTTCTTGGAACATCTGGGTACATCCTCACAGAAGTTCACTATAACTGCATCACCAGGCCGAGACATCAGTTAAAAATCTCACCTTAGCAAAGGCATCCCTGCCATAGCTAGCTTCTTGCTCCGTGTGCTGCTTGTCAATGATGTCGCGACCTGTGGCCACTGTTCGGTAGAGAAGGGCTTTCTCAACCATGTCTGTTTTGGTGGAGAGCAATTCTGCTATGATAGATACAACCTTGCCATTTTCAATGAGAGGCGTGTCACCATCCACCATGAATTTTAAATTTCCCTATACCAAAGTGAAAAAAAGAAGATGCCATTTATTTCCAGCAAGATTCTGAAACATTACATCATGGATATATTTGCCAATTACAGATAAAATTCAAAGTGACCTTGTTTGTAGCACTGATTTTCCTAAATACATTACATATATATAAGAACCTAGCACTTTATCCATCTTTCCTCTTCTCCAGACACCCATCTTGCACTTAATTTTCGGTATTCTGATGAATAGAAGTTTTACATTTACTTATTTACTTATTAACCATCTACAACTGTCCAGCACATCAACCACTCTGTTGATGAATCTGATGATATACTTGTTCATCACTATCCTCTTCTCTTTTTCCCCCTGCCCTACTACTCTTCTTTAGTACATTTTATTTGATCTTCTTACATGTTTACTGGTCCAGGTAAGTTCTACAGTCATGATGTCAACTTAAAAATAAAATTCCTGTTTGGATTCTGAAGGATATTGTTGTACTTTATTTTTATTAAGAGTTAAATCTTGCCACATTAAAGTGAAAGGTTATTTTTATTCCAGATTTAAATTCATGTTGTCATTCATTTTTTCTAAGGTTACATGTTCATTATATTTTCAACATCTATAATTATAGAAAAAGGAATAACAGAAATCTGACACATGGCCCTTCACTTGTCTGAGTTTGCTGTGGTGTAGCAGAACATGATTAGACCATGATTCGCCAACCCTGGTCGACTGTGTTGGCCACCATGAAATGGTTCTGCCTTCAAGCCAATCGTGCCACCCCTTTAGGGCTCATTTCCCAACCTGAAAAATGAAATGATCAAAATTCCAGTTCTGATAATTTATGATTCTATGTTTCAAGTGCTATTGGAAATTTATTCAGTTCAAAAGATTTTAGCTTATACCATTGGTGGTCATATCATTACTGAATTCTTTTACCCTCAGGTTTAAACAGTTCAAAATCTGACATGCCAGTAAGACAATTAACCCAAGCTGTTTCAAAACCTATAGTGGCTTTGAAAATCTCTCATAACATTCTAAAATGACAGAGAGAACCACAGGTATAGTAATTGCTTCAAAATGTAAGAGAAATTTTCCTTATATAAATTAGTTTTTAAATCTACAGGGAAAAAGCAAAATCTTCTGAAAGAGCATCCTGTCACCACAGGGAAGCAATATATTCTGAAAGGTGTCCCTACTCACCAAGTGAAGAATAGCTGCCAGAATCTTATACACTGTTTGAGTCTCCTCAGGTTTGAAGCCAATTACTTTCATGGCATCAGCTACTACTTTGAATTCTGCAGCATCATTGATAGAAGACTGGGAATGAAAATGGAAAACTTAAGTCACGAACATTTCATGTGAGCATTAAAACCTTAAAATTATGAGACTACATTCAAGTTTAGTCAGGGTCTTGATGCTTTTGTAGTAAATCACTGAGTACCCAGAGAAAATCAAAACTATTTCAGGGATAGAAACATCACTCAGCGCACAAAATGTCCACTTGTGGGTGAGAGCCACCATCACACAAAATAGGCATGACATACGTTTCTGGAACCTTCCGTGAGGGAGCAAGTCCTGAGCTGCCTCACAAACACTAACTGCCACTCTGTGATGAATGAAGAAAACACAGGATGTGGAATCACAAATGGAAATACCAATCATGGAAGACTCCACAACACACACCTATGTTGCTTGTGGCTTTTTTGTTCCACAAATAGTCTAATAGAGTCTGGGAATAATACTCCCTCTCTTGGATGGTTAGGCTTTTTACTTCACAGGTGAGGAAAAGCAGGCCACCCAAAGCAAAGTAGGTTGCCTCAATCTTTCAGCAAGCTATTAGATATTTTGGGACCACAACCACTTTTTCACAAATATTCAATGTACCAGATCTTCTAACTGGTTTGAGAGGGTTGCTATAGATTGAAAGTTTGTATCCCCCCCCAAAATTCATATGTTGAAATCCTGATACCCCACCCCCTCCCAAAGTGACGGCATTAGGAGGTAGGGCCTTTGCGAGGTTATCAGGTCATTAGGGTGTAGGCCTCAATAAATGGGATTAGTGCCCTTGTAAGAGACCCTAGAGATTCCTCATCCCTTCTGCCCTGTAAGGACACAGACAAGGCTCCATCTATAAACCAGGAAGCAGGTCCCCACCAAATCTGTAAATGCCTTAATCTCTGATTCCCCAGCCTCTAGAACAGTGGAAAATAAACATTTACTGTATATAAGCCACTCGATTTATGGTATTTTTGTTGTAGAAGCCCAACTGGAGTACGACAGGGGTTCAAAGATAAATTGCCAGCCTTGAGGAGCTATAGTCATCAGGTTGGAAATACAAACGTGTCAAGAGAAATTCACAGTGAAGCAATGGTAATGGCCTATCTCAAAAAAGTTTTCCCAAAGCAGCAGTTCCAGAGGGCCTGACTGATCTTTACTTCTGTGAATTTTCCCTCGGGGGAGGGGGGACACAGAGGATCTGGCCTGATATTTATCTTTTGAGGAGGGGCGTGGGAAGGGGTCCTCTGTGCCAGATGAGTACATGCCTCCAGTATCCAGGACATGGCAAGGCCAGATCCTCCACCGACCTGGTTCTTTGACCTTGGACAAAATACTTAACACCTCATGGAGTCTCGGTTTCCTCATGGATAAAATGGGCATAATAATAATAATACAGGGTTGTTGTGAGAATTGAATGAGAATTACGTAAAGCACTTCCCTAGTTCCCAGTGCATGAAAAGCACTAGACAAGTATCAGATAGAACTATGATAATAAGCTATAACTGTGCCGAAATTGCATAGAAACTAGACAAAGTCTAACCGTCCTCCTGTGCGGAACTGTTGGCTGCTAGAACCTTGATTTGTTCACCCCTCTCCAGCTCCTTCAGGACTGGCCTACCACAGTCTTGGGACATAAAGCTTCATGGGTATAGACTTATCATGGTGATCTTATTCCTCTCACCAAGTGACTGATCAGCCATGGGCACGGGATGCTATTCTGGTCAAGAAGACATGAGGTTTCCCTAGCTGAAAAGGGACATAAGCCAAGAATATTCCCTCTGCCTATGACTCCTGGAACTGCTACTGCCACTTTGGGACCATGAGGAAAATCAGCCCAAGCACACAAGTGAAATCCAGTGAGGATGGGAGCATCTTAAGTTGGAGAAACAGACAACATTTGGGTCTCTACCAACATTGTGACAGCATTAAGTTTACCAACTTTGGAGCTGTCCCAGAATTTAGTTCTATCTTCCCTTCAACCCAAAGTATACTAATTGTACCTTGTTCCTATATTTTTACGGTAGTTAAGTAAAATTGTGATACAGAGTTAATACTTTATGGTTATTAAAATCTATCCTATTAACATATTTGTTAATGGGAAGATATTAATAATTATATTATCATTTACTTAAAGCAAATTTATTTAAACAGAGTTTATTGCACGATTCCACTTATAAACATAAATATATATAGGGGCGCCTGGCTGGCTCAACTGGAGAAGCACGGGGCTCTTGATCTCAGGTTCGTGAGTTTGAGCCCCACACTGGGTATAGAGATTACTTAAAAATAAAATCTTAAGAAAAAACGATATATATATACATATTCATATATACATATATGTATGCCATTATCAATAATTATCTCTGGATGGTAAGCTTTAGTATATTTTTGTTTCCTTCTGGTACATCTTTATTTTAGGTTTTGACTATGATCACAGATTATGTCTTCATTTTTGTTAGGAAAAAAAAGGAGGCAAGGAGAAAGAAATAGGAACCGGATGAAAGAGAACTCAAGCTACATTTAGCTTAGAGCAAAGGCTAAATATTAATTTAATACTTGCTTTCTGTGGGGGCATGATATGATTGGACCAAGAGTAATTTGGGCAGTAAGACAATTTGATTAAAGAGGAACATTTCTCGTCCTAGCTTTTCAACTGCTGGTTTTACAATCCCTTCTACACATCTCTGGGTGCCACTGGCCTACTCCCAGAAAGCTTGAATGTTGCTCTCTATTGTCTTGCTTTCAAATTAATTTTCACCCAAACATCCTGCTCTGAGATGATTGTAAAAGCAAAACAAAACAAAATGAAACAAAGAAACCATGCAATTTGAATGTCAAACAATGGAAAATTAATTGGAAAGCCTAAATATCACTTATTTCCATGCACAACAATAAAAATACAGTTAATTAGTAATGCAGGTATAATTCACTTCAGACAAATAATAGAAATAAAAAAAGAAAATTCCTCCCACATCTGAGATCTTTTCCTTTCTTTCCTTTTGCAAATTCCTTTTTTTTCCCGACTACAAAAGCAATGCATTTTTTTTTTATTACAGAAGAAATTTAAAAATATATAAAAGTACAAGAACACAAGTACCTGTAATCTCATCCATCCAGAATCAGTAATTAAAATCTTGGTCTATTTCCCTCCATATCTTATTTTATGTATTTATATACCTTTCCCCTGATAAAGTAGGATAATATTGTAATTACCATTTTATAGCCTACCATCAACAGACTACTATATTATTAGGATTAGGTGTAAAGTGACTAGCAGAAAACTAATTAGAAATAAAAGAGCAGGAAAGCATCTACATATATGAGTGCAAAAGGCCCACATGCAAGTGAAGGGAAAAAAATGGAAAATGTTCTGAATAGAAATTGAATAGAAATGTTCCAGGGGTCACAAAACTATTTCTAGAATATGTCAAAATCAATACTTGAAAAAACAGTGAATGGAGATCTTTGATACTCATTTCCAATCAGGGTGCTTTTAAAGATCCTTCTGTTTTCCCAACTTGCCTATGGCCAAATCATATGGTATCTTCTTTTGAGGTGGATTTCCTAGTCACATCAATATTTTTATAGTGTTAAAAGGAAAATTCGAAGAAAACACAAGGTCACAAGGGAGAAACTTCTTTCCCGTCAGATTGTGATGAATACAGAAATGGTTATTAAACAAAGTTGTTGACCAATAATGTAGTGGAGTTTCTGTAGTGGAGAATTTAGAATTCTAAATTCTAAATTGAGAATTTAAAAGCTGGAATAGAGGAAAAGTCACTCATTTGCTTAAAGGCAGCAGGCTGGACCTTAATGTCCTCTCTGATTTTTCTGTCTAATTCTGTATCTTGGAGAGGAAGCCCTTACCTTTAACTGAGCGCCTACGCGGATATAGTTGTAGGATGACAAGGATTTCTGGAGATGTAGAGAGCGTAGCATCTGCTCTGAACCACCTTGAAGTAGCTGAAAAAATATTTAATTATAAATAAATTGGCAAAATACACACTTAGCCAAATACATCAAATATTCTTACAATGGTAATCTTGCTTTTACTATGGTCATTTGTTAAACAGAAGCCTCTGCATTGTGGTGGTCACTTGCTTAGTGACCTCATTATCCAGACAAGATAGAGTTTTGTTTCAGAGTTCAGAAAAAGGGAGTATTGCCAAGGAAGTAAGAGGTAATAGCAGATGGTCATACGCTGAATCACACTGGAAACAAATTGCCTTTCCCTGTCAATCTCTGTATCTCAGGAAAGGAGCACCACTGGATAACCATGACTGCAGGGCTGAACAAAGACAAATTTTAACACTTTCATCTAAGTGGGAAAAGCACTGGGGAGAACTTATGGGTTCTGGAAATGAAAAGAACTCTTCTATATTTGGTGAAAAATAACTTAATGAAAACATGGTGAATTGTCAACAAATACAATGTGAGTAGCCCTTGTATATATAGAACATACCTTTGGAAGGTACTACATTTAAATTCTCTACATTAAACCGTATGCTTTGTTTTACTTAAAAGATGTAATTATCAGATTTTCAAAAGTTATCTTTTAAACTAAATATACCAGAATGTGTATATTTACAAATGAGCACTGTTTATTAAAGCCACTACCCAGGAAAAAAATGAATTCAGTTGAACTGTGTTCAGCTTATGCTATCACTGCTCTATCACCTGCAGAGACGGTTTCCACATGGAAATCAATCTTACTGATTTACAGTTATACTTTTTAAAAATTCCAAACAGACTGTTTGATTTGATCACCCACTTTATTTCTTAGCACTAGTTTATGCACTTTAGGCTTTAAAAATTATAATTATGTATCATACTTGTTCTCTGATCATAAAGACTTGTTAACAGAAGGGCTACTTGAAGATTTTGCCTTCACCCTAAAAGCATTTTCAAAATAGGCATCAAGTTTCTTTCTCAGCAATCATAGCTTTGATGGGATAAAGAAGACAATTCTCCCTTGAATTCATAATTGCTTTAAGCCTCCACATGCAAAATAAACTGAAGCTGTATTCCTATCTCCAGTCTCTCAAATTGAACAGCTTCAATTCAAAATAAAACACAATTAATTTAACATATTCAGATTTACCATTTCAAAAGTTTCATAGATATTAAACTGTTCTCTACATTGCAAAGAAACGTAGGTAATGCTCAACTAAGGTAGTCAGTCATCTGGTGGATTAACCACCTGCTAGCTCTTTATAATAATCATGCTTATCAAGTCTCTGAAGTAGCACATTGGCTACTTTTTTACCCATGTGTAAAGTGTCCTGGGCCAATGGAGGTAAGGGAGGCACAGGACAGGGGAGAGTCCCAACATAAAATATTAATTCCCGCTGGGCAAATGACTGATTACCTGCACAGCAACAGATACTAACCTGATAAAAAGAATGAAAGCTTCTTTCTCCTGGTTGTTGCACAATCACTCGAGACTAAAAAAAACCAAAAAACAAAAAACACAAAACACATTAAATCGTTAATCTGAGAATGCAGCCTGAAAACAAAGTGGAAGCCAAGTTATCAGGAAATTGCGTATCAACAGTGCATTTAAATGTCCTAAAGATTGCATGGATTATCCACCTAAAACTAGGACTTTTCTGTGGGGTTTCTGCACAATTTTAAATTTCTTTTTACTGCTTAAAATGGAATTCCCTAAACTTTCCGAAATGAAGCTATTTTTTTTTTTTTTAAACCTGGAGACTAAAGATGGAATTTTTAGGGGGAAGAGGATTGGAAGTGGGAGAACAGGAAGGAATGTTTAGGGAGGAATATTCTCAAAATTCCATTCCCCAGGGCCTGCTGGCATTTCAAAGAGCCATGCCTTATATCCTGTACTAAAATCAGTTAAGCAAGATCAGTCTATGGAGGTGTCTGCCTTAGATGGCTCCCAAAAGCCTGCTGTGAGAGGCTTCACAATGTATGTTCATTCAAAGGGATCCTTTTGACTGACTTTGCACATAAAGTGAAGCCATAAACCATTTTGGAAAAAGACTGATAATACCTGGCATTTCCAGTCCTTTTGTAACTGACACTGGTAAAAATACTTATTTCCTTAACAGACTGGCTTCAATTTAACAAACAAAAATACATTATGCTATGTTTCACTGCCATAAAGCATAGCATGAACAGAAACTAGAAGAAAATGAGATTCAAGTTAGTTAAATATACATGGAAATATTAAATCAGTATGTTGTATGCCTTAAATGTACACAATGTTAAATGTCCATTATATCTCAATTAAAAGGAGCTGTACAGGCAAGATTCTGTGAAAAGAGTGTCATTTCAGGGAATGGATGGATGTGCTAGCTCTACTGTGATGCATTAAGGACAACAACAGTAAAACATGGGAAATGGTAGTGTGTCAAAAGAGGAGAATGGATTAGTCCTAGATTGATTTTTGGTTAAATCTTACTCAGAGGTTGGCACATGTTCACATACCATTCCCACCCCTGCCACGTACACACCTAAATCCTTATCTACAAAGCCCAAACTTTTTCCAACCTGATACTGTAAGAGCTAATAAGAACACAAAAGTAGAATATCTTGTCATAGAAAGCTAATTGAGGAGCAGGAAGGGAGGGAAAACAAAAATAAAAACTACTTTGAAGTAATTTAAAAAATTCTATAAACATGACTAGGTTTAAAAAAAAAATTCAGCACTTGAAAACACTACCCTCAGAAATTAAGCATGTTTTACCTTCTCCAATAAGTAGTTATTGATATGTCCACCAATAGGATCCCCCTTGAAATCAAAGTTGATATCCATGTATTTTCCAAATCTGCTCGAGTTGTCATTACGGTTAGTTTTGGCATTTCCAAAAGCTTCCAAGACACAGTTGGACTTGAGCAACATATTCTTCACTCTTTAACACAGAGAAGTGAAAGTCACTATAAAAAGCTCTAGAGGCTGGGACTTTCAGGAAAACTGGATTTTGTTAAAGCACATCCAAATATTTACACAAAGATGCTGACTGCAGCATTGTTTGCAATATTAAAACAAACAAAAAAACCCTAAATGTCCACTAATAAGGTTGGATAAAAAACTTTTCCTGGTATAGGATGTATTGACAGAGAAAAGAGGTCCAGAATATATTAGTGAATAAGAAATTAAGCTGCAAAATAATATGTGTTGCATGATCTTTGTATGTCTGTGCATGTGTACATGTGAGTGTATGTGTGCAGGCACATATGTTAGTAAATGCTTAAAAATGTGGAAGAGCTAGTACATTTCACTATAGGGATTTAGGTTGACAGGATAGAAGTCTGTAGAATGGGATGCTGGGTAACCTGACCTTGGACAAAATACTATAATTTTTAGTTTTTAAGTGAACATGTTTTATTTACATAAAAAAAATCTTAAAAAGATATGTTCTGAAGAGAAAGAAAAGCTGACACAGAGAATAATACAATTTTTAAAAGTACTTGTTTACAAAGCCTAAAATACTGAAATTTATTGAATTCAGTTATACATCACAAATACATCTTTATTGGTTTAGAAATTGCTCATTTTGTTTGAAGCTGTAGGAAGTCTCCTCTCTACTAGTTATTTAATTCATTCCTTATCTAATGAATGCTACTAACTTTCTATAGAGCAGTCTCTCCCAATGGATACTTTTTAACTTCATGCTGTCTTTAAGTCTTTGTTTTTATTTCCCTGACAAAACTTATCTTGTATGGGCATATCTGCAAAGTAACTTTGGCCACTGAAATAAGCTAGTGTAGCAGATCCACTACTACTATAAGTGACCCCACCACCTTATCTCCTCCCACATGAAAGTATACTTTTAAAATGTGGGGAGAGGGGATTACATGATTATGGTAAACAAAGGCAACTATCTTTAAGACTATATATAGTAAAATATGCTTGTGAAACACTAGTCAATGTACAAAGCACTTACTCTACTATACCCAACTGGGTTTAGAAATAAAATGTAGTTAGTTCTCAGCTGGTTATTCTCCTGCACTTCTATGGAAACTAATAGAACTTACTCATATTCTTTTCCTTGTCATGTGAGATTGCAAAGTCAGAATCAGAAGTGGGGATGTGTCACAGTCAAGAAAATGTCTCTTTGACCACCAGCCCAATTATGCAGAAATAAGGAAAGCTGAGTTAGGGTAAGCCTAGCCTACACAGTCTTCTTTCATACAAATCCAGCATACTTTTTCTATTCATAAACTGAAGGCTGTGCGTGTGGAGGGTGACTCTTCAGGAAACAAATATTGAGCTTTACACTAGCAACTCTGGAAACCTTTTTTCTCTCAAAAAGTACACACCATGTAAGAACGTTAAGTCATGTTACTTTATCACTATCTTTCTTTAAAAAACAAACAAACAAACAAACAAAAAAACAGAACAATTCATCCATTCATTCCTTACAAATTAAGAAAATACTATGTGCCACTCTGTGCTAAAAGCTGGATCCTGCAGACAGTGCCCAGTAGCCCTCTTCCTTATCTTACACTGAGCAGCAACATGGCACGGTATGAAACTTAAAAAGGAAAATGAATCATTCTTAGAGCTTTTAATATCTGGGGTTCTGGTTATAACAGTGCAATGCAGGTAAGGCATGGGGGCTCTGCCCAGAGCCCCCTTTCCCTCCAGGACTCCTCAGAAGACAGCGCAAAAAAGACAAAGGTGTGACAAAGAGCAAGGATGCTGTGAGAACTTGAACAATGACATCTACTTGAGTCAACTGTAATAACTTAGCTAAGCATGTGCAACACTGAAAGCAGCAGTTACAAGGTGGAACAGGAAAACTCTCATGTTTCAGCATGACTTTGTTTCCTACTTAGGTAAAGCTTAACCACAGTATAACTTACCTACAAAAAAACAAACACAGAAATAGATGTGGTGATACAGATAAAAGTACACAGGCAATATTTAATCATCAACAAATGCTTGATACATATCCGAGTTAAGGCCCAGTCAAGTATAGAAAACAAAGCTCTGATCAGAAAGTCTCCCCATGGTTATACTGTCCTTACCTTTCCACCTCTGCTCTCTGACTGGGGTTGGTGATGGCTGCAATGTACTGCATGATGTACTTACTGGCTTCAGTTTTACCAGCTCCACTCTCCCCTATGGGAAAAATTGTGCAAGGCTTAACACTGTAACTTAAACTAATAGTAAGCTAATTTTTAATAGAATAATTGCAAATTCTGATGTTATTTACTTAAAATTCTTTATATTTCATTGCTTTTTTGAGTTATTTCCTCCTGTTTTGGTACAGTATAGATTCTAACAGATCTGAAAATGTTGAGGAAAAAATAAAACTATTATAGAAGTAAAATAGATTACAAGTTAAGATTTAGTAAAAAAATATCAAGGGATAAAATGGGGTAAATGAATTCCTTAGACCAAAGTCTTTGTACTTGGCAGTGACTTTTAAGCATGGCAGAAAAGAAACCAGCTAGTGACTCAAACAGTGGCCACTGCTAAATTCATATAACTTTATGTTCTATAGCAGAATTTCTTTTAATCTTAAGGGGGATGAAATAATTCCTTCAGAAAATTAAAGTCAGAATAATTTTAGTGAAAACAAAACAAAACAGCAAGCTCCAGACATGCTGTCACAGAAAAAGCATGACAACTGGTATAAGATGGAGAGAAGAGGTCAGTTTAGAATGAGCTACTCAAATTTTTAAATGTGTATGCCTTCTGACTCCAAAACTCCACTTGTAGAAATTATTGCTATAGAAATACTAAAAATACTAATGTGATCAAATAATAATCATAATTTTCACAGAACTTAAGAAGGAGTATTTCTACAAACTATACTGTGTGTCACAGCGGAACTCTGAAAATAATATGCCTGGCAGTAGAAGACCAAGCTGATAAATGATTCAAATATTTAATGGAATACCACACATTTGTCAGAGAATCCTCCATTTCTATAGGTATGCTAATGAAGAGATGTCCACTTGATATTGTTAAATGGGAAAACAAGTTACATAATAGCAGTTATAACATAATTCTGTAATATAGTTACATGTTTATAATATAATTTAATATGCATGTATATGTATTATACCCAGAAAAAATTTATAAAAAGGATAAACACTAAATTCACAGCTGTTACTGCTGGAGTTTTGGGGGTAACAAGGTATTCAAAGGGAAGGGATTTTTTTGCTCTTACTTTATAACCTTAAAGGATTGTTTACCTCCTCCCTTTTATAATCAGGTAATATTGCTTTCATAATTTAATATAATGTAGTCCTAGGATATAATTCTCTAATACTAAGTTATTTAACTCCTCTGATTAATATTATCATCTATAAAGGAGAAATACAACTGTCTTACCACTCAGAATTGTTTTGATAATCAAAGTGGAATAGAGATCATAAAAGCAGTTTTACAAATATAAAGCCCCTAATGTAGACGGTGAGATATTATTAGCACCACATAACTCCCACAGTTTGGGAGATGCCATCCTGGGTCAGCAGGCAGATATTTTCCCCATCCTCAATTCACTACATGAAATTCCTGGAAGAGCTCCTCTTTCCTTAGAGAGGTCAATTCCAGCTCTTGGGCACAGAGGGTCTATATCACCTGTCTCCCCCTGCTCTTTAGGCTTTGAAGCTCGAGCCTCCAGCTCTGACAACCAATTTCGTCCCTGTGCCTATATGTCCCATGACACTAACTCCCATTCACCTATCTGACTTTGAGTTCATTTTTCATTCTTCATATCTCAGGATTTCATTTTCTTGGTTTCATTCTGCAATTATTTAAAATAATCTGTTACATTTTATCCAGTACTTTTATGTCATTGAGATGGGAAGAATCTTTCATGACCAGAAATCCATTCACAAGTAACATGGATTTGTCAATGAACTGAGATGAGACATTGATCAGAAATAATTTGGTTGGGGGCAGCCCCGGGTGGCTCAGCGGTTTAGCGCCGCCTTCAGCCCAGGGACTGACCCCGGACCCAGGATCGAGTCCTGCGTCGGGCTCCCTGCGTGGAGCCGGCTTCTCCCTCTTCCTGTGTTTCTGCTTCTCTCTCTCTCTCTGTTTCTCATGAATAAATAAATAAATTATATATATATATATATATATATATATATATATATATATGAAATGATTTGGTCTTTATTGCAATTTTTTTCTTCTATGAAATTGCTTATGTTTCTCACTTCAAAAAATATATATTCAACAGTTTGGATCTTGAGTACCTAATAACTAGTTAAATGCATTTGACCTTGAAAGTACAGGGGATCCCCTCTGAATACCTGATATCACAATACAAGTATCTTTCGAACGCCTCTTCATAGCTTTGTAAGCAGCATCAGCAATTGCAAAAAGGTGAGGAGGTCTTTCATACAGCTCACGTCCTTTATATTGCTCAATTGTGTCTCTCCCATAGATGTTCAATGCCTTGTAAGGATTCACAGAAACAACGACTTCTCCAATGAATGTGTAGATGCGCCCTTTTTCAAATCTGTACAAAAGTGAAAGAAACAGAAGAGTAGCTGTGGTTATATAGAAATGCTGTCTTTCCAAAGAGTCTCATTTCCAAGAAGATCCAAGTGTCTCAGGAACAGTTTCTGAACTGACATTTCATTAATTCTGAATTTAATTATAGAGACAATGCTTAAGGCTGTACCCCTTCAGATGCTGCTAGTAGAAATGACCAGGGAGTTAAAAGCCAAGAAAGAAGAACTTATTTTGAGGGAGGCTGCATATTCCCTATCTCCAAATACAAAAGGGTAAGAAGTGGCTCTACACTAAGAGCCCTGGTAAGGAAAGAAATAAAAGTTAAAGATCTACTTAGCCAGATCTATAATTTTAAGGAAAACTGTCTAAATACATTTCTTTTTTTCTTCTTCTTGAAACCACACTAAAATGTCAGTAAAGGAGTAACAACACTAAAATTTGTTATAGAGAGAATGGTAGAGGAGATATTTCTGTTACACATCAAATTCATTATTCTAAAATTTCATGGTGTAGATGATCATTCTTTATTCAATCATCCTCCTTCCTTCCTGCTATTATGAATAATATTGTAGAAAATATTGCTGGCACATAGTCTTACACATCAGTGCTTTTATTTCTGTGTGATAGCTGGTTTAGAGGTATGTGTATTTTTAAAAGTACTTAAAATATGATTGCACCTTTTTACTATAAAACACTAGAATGCTGCCCCATACATGATCTGTATGTATAACTGTGCATAGATATATCTGATAAATGATTAGACAAGCACGGAAAAATATGGAAGGCTTCTTGTTATGTTTTGTGTACTCTTTTATGCATGCAACAGGGTGATGAGGAGGAAGACCATGTGGGTGGATGGAAGGAAGCCACAGGAACAAAGAAAAAAAGAATAAAAAAAACCCAGCATATATGATATGACTCCAACTGCACAAAATTATGTGTCTATATTTACAAAGAAAAAATTTAAATGTAAAACTTAGAAAACCCATATAGACTATTTATACATTAAGTCACACATATAAGCATCCCTGAATCAGGCTAACACCCAAATGGTTGTTTCTACATGAGTGTTGCCAACACATTCCACCTGCCTAGAGGCACAAGTAGACAGAGAGTTCACATCCAAGAATGAAGGGAGTGCTGAGACAAGCAAAATGCTCATCCACAGTCAGGGACCGTGCCTCTAAGCACCCTTACATAAAACCAGTGCAGCAGCGAAAGAACTCATTCTTTGGGAGTACAAGGCAAGAACGTAAAACCTCCTTCACAACAGAATGAAGGCTGTTGGCTGTAATAGGGCTGGAAATAAATGGATGCCCATAATGTCAACAATAAATTAAGGCCAAAATTTGTATTAAGTAGTGTACATTTAAATAAAAACTATTAACAATCACTTTAAGGTCTTCTGTGCATTTTCTACAGTGGTTTTCTAATGAATCATCCCTAATTGTTGGACACAAAGTTAATATGGTGGTTAAAAGCATGGACTCTAGAGACCTCCACATCTGGGTCAAAATGCTCATATTGCAAATATGATAGCTGTGAGACCTTGTGAAAGCTACTTCACCTCCATGTGTTTCAGATTCTTCATCTGTAAAATGGAGATAATTATACCTCCTCTCTCCCTTTGGCATTAAGTACTTAAAAAGGGGCGGATTAATTTTATGCTCTGTGTAAAAAATATTTTTAATGAATGCTTTTATTTTATAACAACATTGCTACTTAAATCACAGCAATCCCTACACAAGAGAAATAAATCCAATGATCATAACCTGATTCCCTGCCTCAGCCGTTAATCAATGAACGACAAATCACAAGCAAAATGTCCACATAACTCATGTCCAGACACCCACAAAAATAATAAAAAGTGAAGGTTCACTACCCAAGCCTTTCTGGCATAAACTGCATATTTGCAGGACATGCTCAATAGCTGTCTTCAAGGATAAGAATTAAAGGGACGTGGTTCTTTAGTTTTAGAAACACAGTCCAAACAGAAAAAACAAATAAAGAAAGAAAGAAGGACATTAGGAAAAAGAAATCACCTCATGAGACAGGAACTCTATGAACTAAGACACAGCAAAATAGCCTCTGAGATTAGAATGTTGCTCTAAGACTCCAGGTCTACCTACTTATGAAATCCCATTTTATTTTGTATAGAATATTTTGCTTATCAAAACTTCTAGGCATCATGTTTATAAAACACAATTAAAATATGTGATAAAACCAACAAATGCATAACTATTAATGTGAAGATAATGGTAGAGGGTCAACAAAATATAGTATTAGACACAATGCTTCAGTAATTTATAAAATGTTAGAAACTTATTTGAAACTAAGTTTGGTGATCACTGACCACAAACTTACAATTCGGTTAAGGCTTAAAATCACCGCTAGATGGTGCTAGTATACACTTTAACAACAACCCAAGATTTCAGTTTGCTTTGGACAGGCTCGGGGTAAGTTAACACTAAGGTAATATAGTCACCTGCTTGGTATGCCTCCATAGGGAACTACTGTAATCACCCTCAACGACAAATAGGGTGATGCCACCTCTTACAAGAGGTCTTACAAGAGACCAAGGAAGGCATTTCTGTGCCTTCTATATGCAAACCTTTTATGACAAACTTTTATAATGCTTTCTTCAAATATGTATTCAATATCTACTATGTGCCAGACACTGGGCCTGACTCTGGGAATTAAAAACTAAATAAAGAGCAGGGAAACAGTGCAAATAAATAGTAACCATATGATAGGTAAGATTAATAAAGGCATGTACTGTGCTGACAAAGATGAACACAACACATCTCTTTCAATGAGGAATCTAAACAGTAATATATGCAAAGTCTAGAGCAAAGCACATGAGGCCTTTTGTGCTCTGGCCTCCACATCTCCCTTCACTTGACTCTCCTAACTACACATGGACCCATCAACCCCTCCCCATCCTCTCAGTCTCAGTCACTCCTGCTGTTACATTAACGAGCTACTTAGAATACCCAAGGTTTGGTACAGTTCATGGTTTGCCCATAGAGTTTGTTCTGCCTAGAATACTCTCTCCCCACCCAGTCTCTCCTTCCCCATATGCTCAGCAGATTCTCATGCTTTTCAAAAGCCTAATAATAAGCACCAGCTCTTCCAGGAAGCCATTCTCGATATGCCATCGCCAACACTGATATTTTGTCCCTGTTCAGATTTTTTTTCTTTAGAACTTCCAAAATACTTAAAGTAGCTTAAAAGGGATTGATTTTTAAAAGTCAGTTTCTTGGGGTGCCTGGGTGGCTCAGTCAGTTGAGCATCCAACTCTTGGTTTCAGCTCAGGTCATGACCTCAGGGTTGTGAGATCAAGTCCTGAGGTCAAGGCTCATGCTGGGTGTGGAGCCCACTTATGATTCTCTCTCTTCCTTTGCTTTTTCCCTTGCCCATTGGTAATTCTTTTTTTTTTTTAAAAAAAAAAAAAGGAAACAAAAACAAAACCTTAATTTCTTTAAGAAGTTTAAAAATATTTATTGAATGGGTCAGGTATTTTCACTGGCTTCTGAATGAAACAAAAAGGTTCTAAAGGTTTTTTTTTTAAGTTTATTAATTTTTAGTAATCTCTACACACCCAGGATGGGGCTTGAACTCACAATTCCAAGATCAAGTGTTGTATGCTCTTTCGACTGAGCCAGCCAGGCACCCCCTAAACAGTTTTTAAATTAATGAGTAGCAATGGACAAGATGTGAAGGTAATGTCTTTGGAGGACAACAGTGTTTTGGATAGGAATCCTGAAACATTTTTAAAAAAACACAGTTCCATCAATTTGCCCATGCTTTATATAAAAGACAATATATAAATTTATATATTAAATAAATAGATTTATTAAATAAATTTATATAAAACTACAACAGAAAGTCAAGATGGATGCGGCTCCTTTGCATCCGTCAAGGGCACAACCCTACAGAGAAGTATGACCCTGGAGTGGGGGTGCGGAGGGGTGCTCACATAAAGTGATACTAGAGATAATAAAGTGCTAATTGCAGAGTAACACAAACTTGACAAGAACTTAGACGTGAAGGCAGAAACGTGGTGAGACTAGAAGAACAGGAGGAAGGCTGGCCTTCCTAGAGCAAAAAGTGTGTGTTAGGGAAGGTCAAGTAACAGCTGGAAAGTAGGAAGAAGTCAGATTCGATTGCTGTGAAAGGCTTTGAAAGGCAGGCTTGGAAGGTTTACATTTGATGTGACTTGGACACAAGGAGCCAGGGAAGACTTTTCTAGTTAAAGAGGTCAATGAGATCGGCTGGCCCTCAATGAGGATGGCAGCAGGAATGAGAAGAAGAGAAATTAGAGTTGCTTCAAAAGGAAACTGGACAGAATCTGAACACTTACTGAATATGAAGGGCAAAAATATATTTAACTTTGAGCTGGGCAGAGGAAGAAAAGGGAATCTACTTCAGATGATGAGATTTCAGATGTACTCTCAAGGCTTCTAAGGTCGTTCACCCACTAACAGAATCAGTGTCATCCTTGATTGACTTCTTAACATGAAATCAATTATAACCAGGCGGGAAATTCTCTGTGAACAATCTGCTAAGTATTCTATAGATCTTCATTAATGAGTAAATATTTATTTCATGAGGATGCATGCTTTCAGAAAGAGCTGCTTAATCACATTGATTTGGCCTGTTTCCTTCCCTCTTTAATGTACATGAAATTGCAGGTTGCTGCAATATTTGTATTGCCCAGGAGACATGTTCACCAGCACATGGCATCTCTCTAACCTTCCATTATCTCTTCAAGCAACTCCAGCCTACTGCCCAAAGCTAGTTCCTGATGAGACTGCTAACTCCCTCGTCTGACTTTCCATCTTCACCTTACCTGGTATCCCAGCAGCGTCTGACATTGACTCCAACTTCCCCAACAAACTCTTCTCGTGGCTTCTGTGGGGCCACCTTCTTTGTTTTCCTCCTCAGTCTCCTTTGCTGGCCCTTCCTTTTCTCATGATCTCTAAATACTCAGGTTCTCTAGGG